ACCTACCCACCCACCCACCGACCTACCTACCTACCTACCTACCTACCTACTTACCTACCTCCCTGCCTCCCTACCTACCTACCTACCTACCTACCTACCTACCCACCTACCCACCTACTTAGCTACTCGCATACATGGGTACGCACGCATGCACATACGTACGGACAGAGATTCATTCGTACATAACCATGCGTGCGCACATACGTACATGGGTACACAGGTACAGACGTACATACGTGCATGCATGCATGCATGCACGCATGCGTGCAAATCTGTGATGCAGGCACAATGCTGCTACTACCCAGAATCCTCCAGCAAGCCCCGCGACTCTAGGGCCCAACCCATGAATTCCACTGGCCAAAGGGCACAAAACCCTATATCGCAAGCCCTTCCAGCCCGAACTGTAAGCCCGTGCCCTGCGATTGCCTGACAGTCCTAAGCACTATAGTGACTATAGTGCTTAACCACAGACGTAGACCTGCACCAAAGACCCTGCAGACCCCAGACCAGAAAAGCCAATCAAACCGCAAACCCCTCAGCACCCAGAGCCGAAATGCTTTCGCACCCCCAAGCCCTAAGCCCTAAATCCCAATATCCCGAAACCTTAAATCCCGAAGCCCTAAATCCCAACACCCCTAAACCCCTAAACCCCAAGCCTTAACACCCCGAAGCCCTCAGCACAGGACAAGGCCTTCGAGCGGAGGTTCGTCATCGTGGAGCTGTTTGAGCCTTCTGAGGCCCCACGAAAGGGGGGGGGGTTCCATGTTTAAACGGATTGGGGTTTGGGTTTAGGGTTTACTGTTTAGGGTTTACTGTTTAGGGTTCAGGGTCTGCTGTTTAGGGTCTAGTGTTTAGGGTTTGCTGTTTAGGGTCTAGGGTTTGCTGTTTAGGGTCAAGGGTTTACTGTTTAGGGTTCAGGGTTCAGGGTTACTGTTTAGGGTTCAGGGTGTGCTGTTTAGGGTCTAGGGTTTAGGGTTTGCTGTTTAGGGTCTTGGGTTTAGGGTTTACTGTTCAGGGTTCAGGGTTTAGGGTTTACTGTTTTGAGTTCAGGGTTTAGGGTGTACTGTTTTGGGTTCAGGGTTTAGGGTTTACTGTTTAGGGTTCAGGGTTTGGGGTTTACTGTTTAGGGTTTAGGGTCTAGGGTTTACTGTTTAGGGTTCAGGGTTTAGGGTTTACTGTTTAGGGTGTACTGTTTTGGGTTCAAGGTTTAGGGTTTACTGATTAGGGTTCAGGGTTTAGGGTTTACTGATTAGGGGTTTAGGTTTTCGGGTTTCGTAGGGTTGCTATCGGGCTTTTATGCCGGATGCTATAGGCTTTGCTTTCAGTGTTCATAGTCTTCACAATGTGTAGCTTAGGTTTGGAGTTTGGGGATTGGAGTACGAGGTCTTCCGTGGTTCAGAGCCCTAAACCCCAAACCCTAAGTCCTCGAAGCCAAGCCCCATACCCCAAGCCCTAATGTGTTGCCTCTTCTCAGACCTCTTCCAGACCCCTTGAACCCCGACTCCCTAGCCCTAACCTAAGCCCCAAGCCCCCAAAACCGAGTCCTAAAGCCTAAGTCTAAGACGCTAAGGAAACTAGTGCACACACGCGGTCCGGCCTCGTACAAGCAAGCCTTTTCCGCAACTCGAACCATGATGCCTTCGGACGCATCCACCTGACGGAGCTGTGCTGGGAGAGATACGAACTCTAGTGTGAAGCCTTCTGATTGCAAGCAACAGCAGATAAGACATCTTGGAGAATACCGACTTTGTGCTTCACACTGGTTCTCTCTTCTCCCTTCTTCTTACTGCTTGTGCCGGGGGTTCCGATATCAATCGGAATCACCAGCTTTGCTTGGATCATTTCCCACCAGTCCTTTGGATCGGCGGGTTTTGTCAAAATATCCCCAAGCTGAAGTCCGCTCGGCACTCACCCGAGAGGTAGCTTACTACTCCACTGCTCTTCTCTCAGTCCTTGACGTAGGGCTGCCAAGTCGATTGCCAAGCGCCTGTCCGTTGACACCCGTGGGATGCCTTCTTTGTGGACGTGATCAAACAAAGAGCGACAGTCTGATAAGCACAGGAGGGGGCTCTCGGCTTTGTTGACCGGGATGAGCTTCCCGGCCAGCAGCGTCTCCATGAATGATCGTAGGTACTGTCCGCTCTCGAGGCCCTCCACGCTTGCTTGAGTCTCCGCCCCAAAAGTGCTGCGGCAGACACGTTGTCCTGCTCTGGATTTCCAGTCTCCGATGGAGGCGTTGCCGGGGGTGCCACGGACACATCTGATGTCCGCAAACATGGCCAGGCAGCCGATCTGCGAGGCCACCTTAGAGTTAATCCTCTTGGCCTTGCATTGCTGCCTTCCAACATGTGGTCCTTCGCGTTGTAGTCCGGCTTCTCGGTCTTCCGGGGTGAGGGCGAAGTGTTCCTCGTCGTAGTCGGCCTCCAACGCATTCGCCCATGCAGCGTCGTGGTAGACGACGATGCCAAAGTGCTCTCGCGGGATGGGCTTGAAAGTAAGCCACATTTCTTTATAGAGCCCGGCCCGGTAGGCGATCTGGTTGGTGAACCGAACGTCTGCAATGCAGGGGGCCTTCTGCAACTGCTGGGCAAGACTGACACTGCACGTCAAGTCTGGTCTTGTCTGGGCCGATAGCCAAGACAGAGCTCCTTGACACTGCACGTCAAGTCTGGTCTTGTCTGGGCCGATAGCCAAGACAGAGCTCCTATCAAGGACTGGTTGTCGGCTCGCAACTCCGGGCCGGCAGGATCTTCATCATCAGCTCCACGAGGAATTTCCAGGCTGAATAGCCTGGTCTCAGCATACTTCTTCTGCTTGACGGTGACCTCCTCGCCGCAGTAGATCTCGGAGCCGACGTAGTCGAGGTGGTTCAGCTCCCACTTGTCTATGGGGAACCTTGCTGAAAGGGCCTCTCTGATCATCACGTTCATCTTTTTGCCACCGATGACCAAGAGGTCGTCAACGTGACTTCCGACATAGCCGTGAGGTTCCCCTTCGTAGGTTCCGTCGACGATCTCCCTGAGCATGAAAATGCATGGGTCCAGTGGGCACTGGACGAATCCAAAGCGCCTTTCGTCGCATCGTACTTCGACTTGTAGTATCCCTCCTTGTAGGTCTTGCCACCACTCGTGTGGCGAGGTTGCCAGACCGAAGATGTTCTTCTTGATGCGCACCAGTTGCCGTGGTCGTAGTCCCGGGAAACCTGTAGCCGGCTGGTGGAGGTAGAGGGGCTCATCTCTGCTCAAGTAGCCACCCGTCAAGAAGGCACACTGGATGTCGCCCGCGGCGACCTCCCACTTGTCCTCCTGACATAGGCCATCTGCAAGTCTTTGCATCAAACAAAGAAACCCTGGCCTGGACAACGTAGGCGCGTCCGTGCTCAACGCCTCCACCCCAAGATCAGGATCTCGGTGTCCTCCGATAACAAGCCGGCTCTTGCATCTCCACTTAGGCTCATCTGTGTCTGGTGTTTCCCCGGCGGCATGCGATTTTCTGGCGGCCCAGTTTTTATCGCGATATGCCCACCGGCATGGTAGGACTCGAGCAGGATCGACGGTTTGCCTTATCCGTTCCGAGGTCTCCTCGTCCAGCGGCTCTAGCGCGTCATACGACAGGTGCTCTTGCCATTGGACGCGCTCTGCGTCCTTGAAGAGCTCGCGGGCTTCGGGTGGTATCTCGGACCACTTCAATTCCTTCTCCTGTCGTTTGGCCTGCCCTCGCTGAGTGAGTGCTCTTTTCAATAGCATCACCTCGTCGGCCTGCGCGTCGACGTTGTCGGGGCGAGTCTTTCGCTTCAATCTCCGGCTCGGAACTCCTGCAGGTAGTAGCGCTTCCTCTTCCTGTGGCATCGCTGTGTCACCCTCTCCGTCAATGTCGAGCTGGATGTTGCCGTGGAGGTCGAGGTCGTCGATCTCGCTCGGGGAGTACTGGGCGTCGTCCTCGTCCTTGCCTTCGGACTGCTCCCATGTATCCGGGTCGTCCGGGTCCATCGACAGGAGCTTGTTGACCTCCTCCTTGACGCCCTTCATGGTGAGGTACTCGCCGATCTCCTCAGGTCCGGTGCTCCGGAGGTGTTCCGGTGCAGTGAGCCTGCACCTGCCGTTTCTCGAGATCCAATAACTGGACCCTTGTTTTCCCACCACCACTGCTGGCCCTGTCCAGTGGGCTCTTCTTCTGTCTTTTGGCTGATTCCAAAAATGCACCGGGTCCCCGACCTCGAAGTCCTTCTTCGCCGTCCGTGCCCTCTGCATCAGAGCTCGTCGCAGCCTCTCATCCCCTTGGGTCTTGTGAAAGGCCATGCGCGCACTTGCTCGGATGGCTGCCAAACGCTGGAACTTTGAATCCCGGGTGAGGTCCCAGGTCACCTGCTCGCCATTGTCCGGATCACACAGTTCTTCTGGAACGCGGGGTGATCTCCCGAATACCCACTGGGTTGGTGAGTGTCCGCAGCGTCGCCGGAGGTCGTTTTTAGCGGCACAGACCATCGTTGCCGCGATCTCGGCCTCGTCCTTGTCGACATTCAACTCGTGGATGACTCTGTCCCAAATCCCCTTAAACCGCTTGACGTGTCTTTCGGTGATGCCGCCCTGCCACTTGCCTTGGGCCGCCACGTTCTTAACCCCGATGCTGTGCCAATCACATAGCCTTGCCAGTCCTGCCTGCACTTTCCCGTCCAAGTCGATTGAAACTGACGTGGGCGGACCGAATGGGGACAACCAGTGCATGTTGAATGCCCTCTCAACGTCCGGGCCGGTCTCCTTCTCGAGCTTGGCCACCACGTGGTAGGATGTCGCCCAATCGGTCATGGTGAGGAAGGCGTGCCTGGCATCCTGGATGTCGTGGCAGTACATAATGTCGACCCCGACACAAGAGTTGAAGTCGAGCAATCTCGGCAGCGTGCTCGGCCTTGCGATGCCGGGCCCTTTTGTAGCTTCGCATGTGGCACACTTCATTCCTTTGACCGCCTTGATGATGTTGGGCTCGCATCCGGCTAGCCTCAGGTGTCGACATAGGTCTTCTTCTCCTCGTGGATGTCCCAAGTTCTGGTGCAGGCGACGTAGAGATGCCTGCACGTAGCCGGGGACGTCGCTTCCAAAAGTGATGCCGCTGCCGTCGTACTTGATCTTTTCGCCTCGGGTTTCCTCGTCGACTTCAACAGCGCACACCTCATGAGGGCGCTGTCCTGCAAAAGTAAGTCTCGCTCCATCCCTTTGTTTTCCAAGAACAACCCATGCATCATCGCCGTCGAGGAACTTATACTTCACATACTCGGCGTAGGTCTCCAGGAAGGGGCTTGGATCTCCTTTACGCAGTACGACTTCGCCGCCAGCCTCAATCTGTTCGCGAATTAGCTCACTCACGGGCTCCTTCGCTCGGTCGGGCATTCCATCAAGGTGGATTCTTAGCTCTTTCGGTGAGGCTCCGACGACGAAGTGATGCGCGTTGACCTGGGCCTCAGGGTCGACGTAGTCTTCCCACGTGAACGGCTCGATCACCGCTTTGTCGAGGTCTGTCGCCTCGATCGTTCCCTCTTGTCCTCCTATTTCCATCATCACGATCGGATCGTTGAGGGCTGGTTGTCCATAGATGTCGATAAGGTAGGAGCTGGCCGCTGTCATCAAAGTGCACATCAGCACTCTGAGCTTCCCGGCGGCGTTCATGATCGTTTTCTTGGTGGACCTTGTTGCCTTCGGTTTAACGACGGCCTCTCCGGTCCTGGTTCTCCCAAGGAGAGGCA